TCCAAGACTGCTGATTTAATTTAAAAGAATTATTATATTTTTTTTTATAAATCTTCAAGGGCTCATAATTATTCTTAATTTAGGATCCATTATAGATTAACCATTCTAATATGCAGTTGGCCACTACTACACATGAACTTGTGGTTTTCCAGTTATTCTGCTTTGATTCTGAATTAAAAACTTCATGCATTTTACTTTTTTTCTTCTCTAAATAACATTTCCGGCTAGTTTAAGCTGCATTTTGAAAAGCTCATAAACAGCTGAGGTCACAGACACATTGCTTCTGTAATGTTTAGCTAATGTGCTAGTTTAACACCCAGAGTTGTTCAATGCTGCTGGCTGTAAACTGGGAAGGAGGAGGGAGAATTTCTTTCAGTACCAGATTATTACTTTATATCTAGAATAAGTAAATGTGTCCTTAGGCTTAGTAAAATGTAACTTATTCTTTTATGCCATGGATATAGATTGTCTTCAACTGAATGTTAACAGAACTATTCTACAAAGCATCCTTCTATAGGGTTTATAGAAGATTTTTTTTTTTTTTAGTTTGATTTTGGAGTTATTTTGAAGCTGGATCTATTTATCAGCCATTCAGTATTTCAAAAAATCTAAGGGACTTGGTATGCAATACAGCTAAGACTTTGAAGTTTCTAGGTGATCACATCATACTTAGAGTATATACGGCTGTTAAAAGAATGTCCAATAGTGTTTATGACACCAGTTCAGGTGCCCAACCCCGTATTTCTTTGTCTGTCTTTTGAACCACATCATTGGATGTGGCCACAGCTCTGCTGTCAGGACAGTGTCATCGCTTTGTGCTGTGATGTCTTAGGAGCAGAACGGTTGGAGCTCTGTTTCCACATGTTTCTCACTGTATCTCATTCCTTTTGCCCCTTTTTCTTCAGTAGATCCTGTAAAGGGAAATGAACACTGTCACTCTACACTAACCATGACACTGAACTGCTGGTCTTTCCTTTGCAGACTAAGGATATTTAATAAGCTGCATTTTGCTCTTTCATTTACCTTTTTAACTGCAATAGAATTTGATTTCAAAACAAGCCTGTAAACTTGTTGAACAATGTTTTTTTATGAAATTTGAAAATTTCCTTCCACTTATCCTTCTACAGCTATAAGAAAAAAAAAAAAGAAAAAAAAAAAAAAAGACTTTCTAAAAGTATTCTGGACTTGCTCAGCAAAGAGAGACTTCAGAAATAGATCTCAAAATCTAGTAACTTGTAAGTTACTAACTTAAGTACAAGTTAGTTTATATATTAAAAAAAAAAAAAAGATTAAGATGAAGCTTCACATATGATTTTCCATGGTTAGCCAAGCTTATTAATATATTCTTGAAATTCTACCATGTACTTCTATTTTAGGCATCCAGAATATTTTAAAAACTTAGTTAAGCTGGCGACAGATTGAATATAATTACCTGAGTCAATCATGGGTTAAAATTATGCATGGCAACATAACCACACAGAGAATAATAAAGACTCAAAGACATTGTTCCTTCACTGCTGTTTAACTGCCCTGTTAAATGATTGCTGACAAATTATGAAAAGAAATTAGTGAAATTAGTGAAATTATTGTTAAAAATGTGGGCTGCTTTGTATTCCCTGAGGTGGTCTACACTAGCATTACAGGGACATTTTTCCTAAGCAAAAGCATCATTTTTCCTATGATGGTGCCCAATAAATATGGTTCCTGGATGAGGATATCCAAGTTCATTCTCCAAGATAACTATCCTATTGAAGAACTATTTAGTGTAGTTTCCCAAAATCATTTTGTCTAAACTGGAATTTATATAGCCTGGGCTCACTACCTCAGGTCAGTGGTATATTGTATATTACTTGCTCTCCACAGTGTGTTGCATTTGGATTAGATTTAGCAGCCAGTCCTCAATGACCATTAAGTGGAGCAATTAAACAGTCAATGTCTTAAACTTTTTCTAAGATGCAATTCCCTGTAAGGGTACTGGTACAGTATAAGCCTACATGGCAACACAGTACAGAATATCAAGAGTGCTCAATTCTGCATATATGGTTGTCAAATAAAGAGGCATTTGCACAATTCAATGGTATTTGTTATATTCGTTATATATATGTATATATGTATATTCGTTATAGACCGAATCTAGATGTGTTTCCACCTATGCTATTATTCATGGTCAGCTACAATGTTTCTCCACACAGTTTAATAATCTGATCTTTATACAGTGTTAATCAGTTTTTCCACAGAAGTATTCACTTTAATTTGATGGACTATCCAACAAAGTATATTTTCTTAGCAAACCTTTTCATTTTGTGGGCTATCCATTCTCAGGCAAACTGTTAATCTAGATCATCAGGGTGTATTTTTCTTCAGATGAGATTAACATTCTTTTAAGAGCACTAATTAACTGTTGATGATTTGTTTATATCCTTGAGGCCTCTAGTTGCAATCTGTCCTTACACTTTCAAGGCTTCTGCTACCATATTGCATTCATAAATTTGGGAACACTTGCTAAAATCCCCAGTTTCTCTTCAAATGCCTTTAAGCTTTGCTTTCCTGGGTATGTGGTTAATGGTTTATTAGCACAATCCAGCCATGCATGCCTCCTTGTTTTAGGTCCATTAAATGTTTCATTCCACAAAGCAACAATGAACTAAAAGACATATATAAATCATAAGATATAGGTGAAAATAATGGTCTCTTACTGCTTGCTCACAGTATCTACTAGTTATGGCAGCATTGCTAGCACATTATCAAATTTACTTTACAGCAGGCACTGTGACTGTAACTGTACTTTCTAAAAATGTGTTACTCAACAGAGATATAGTACATTCTTCCCAGGGTTTGGGGGACTGATTCTTCTGTGGCTTATTCCCGGTTTTAACAAGCTTAACTTTATTAACTTGGCAAAGGTTGTTTTAACTTCTGCTATATGAGAAAGACCTTGTTGGATTCG